GTCAAACAAATCATTCGCAAAAATGATGTAGAAAAGTGGTCCGAGTATAGATCCCTGAGGAACACCTTGCTCTATTTTCCGTGGTTCACTCATAGTGACGTCAACAATAACTCGTTGAATTGTGCCTTGCAGATATGATTTATTTGACTTGTGAGCAGTCCCTCTCACGCCAGATCGTTCCAATTTCTGTAGCAGTAGTTCATGGTTCACGGTGTCGAAAGCTCTTGAAAAATCTATAAATAAACCACAAATGTGTAATTTGCAACCAATACCATTTATAATGTGTTCACTTGAATCATATAGACTGTTTCTATACTCTTATTCCTTGTGAATTCATGTTGGTTTGATGAGAAAATGTTATTCATAGAAAGAAAGGAAATTAATTGATTTCTGATATCCAAGTCAAATACTTTTGATACACTAGAAAGCAAACTAATGCCCCTATAGTTTTCACACAAGTTTGTATCAACCTTTTTATAAATCGGTACAACATTAGCAATTTGCAGTTTGTCAGAAAACATTCCATATTCTAGTGATAGGTTAATGATGTGAGGCAGCGGATATGATAACTCATGAGCACATTTTTTTAGGAGCTTGTTCGAAATCTCATCATAACCACTTGCACCCGAGTGTTTTAGTGTTTTTATCAAATCAATTATGTCATATTTACTAATGGGAAAAGGATTTTTGGCAGATGGGAACATTATTTTCCATAAATTTTATGTCTATCTCATCATGACACTTCATAGGGGAAAAAAGGGCATTGAAATTTTTAGCCATCTCGATTTTTGATAATTCAACATTACCATCATTCGTTTCAATATTATCGTTTCGTTTGTCATTTTTCCTGAGATGGTTAATCATCTGCCACATTGGTTTAGACTTATTATTGGATTTTGCTATTATATAATCTACATGGTGTTTATAATTTTCCTTCAATCTTCCCTATATATTTGTGCGAGATGCTGGCTCATATTTTCATAGCGATCATATTTCCTGGCACACTCTGAATAAAGCGAAAACAAGCCTTTGAGTTCCTGCGTGATAATATTAGAATTTTTTTTCTCTGTCCACGAAAACGATTGATGAAATATTCTACATGGGCTGAGAAGTCTCGGGCCTGACAAATAGATGGTATTGCATTTAGTAACACCAGAAAACATAACCATTGACAAAATTACGTTTAGCTGTCATTAACCTTTTTTTGTTATTCCATGTCAGATGTGTTTTTGCTATGCCACGTTTTATAGTGACTTCTTGGTAACTCCTTTTAGTGGACTTATTAATTTTTCCTCCTTCCTTACCACTAATATATCTTATCTTTCCACCCGGCGGTAATCTACATCACTTTCATTATTCTCTTTCAATTTTGCTGCTTTCACTTCCAATAATATTTTTTCATACTCATGTTGGTTTAAAAAAACATTATTTTTGTTTTTTATGATACAATCTGTTCTAGTTGGTTTTCAAATTTTTCTTTTTGTTCCATTGCTTTTCAAAAATTCCAACTAAAAAATGTTTTGTTGAAAAATCAAAATTTGAAATCTATAATTATAATAATTTAAACTTACCTGAGTCTTATTCCTCTAAATATCCTTAATTATATCCAGAAATCTTCAGTACTATGGCATTAATTTGTAATGAAGTTATTGTAGCGTACATAAACATAAAAACATCAACATTATAGATGGAGTACTTGCACGAAATGTGTATCGTGAAATAGCAGCGCCTACTGAATTAGCCGCGTACCACTACAAGTGCACATGCGCACCACATTACTAGCACTCGCGATTTCGTATTTTGTATTCTCACATTTACCACAACGATATGGTCATTGTGAATTCAATGTACGTTTTCCTTATTTGAAATTGTAAATGTTAGTTTAATGCACATTACCCAAACGAGGAGGCAAATGTACACATTTACCTGAAAAGTTGTACATTTGCCGCAATATCTACTTTTACCGTAACAGATCCATCACTTCATTCCGTAATCAACGATCGTCATCTGAATGGAGAGAAACATCAACAGTGAATATTAGATAGCGTTATTGGCGCCTTCAAAAGCCGAAATTGCAAAGAAACGACCGCAAATGAAAATGGAAAAAATTTTGTTCCAACAAGTAAAACTACATGAATAGATTTTCGAATCACTCCCACACCACGGTATTCACCCGATTTGGCTCCAAGTGACAACTGTCTATTGGCAGACCACAAACAATGCTCACTGGTAAGGAATTTTGCTGCAATGAAGAGGTTTTTGCTGAATCTCGGGGACCAGGGCAAAATCGTTCCTCAAAAGTGGTATTGAAATGAAAGAGTCGCTCTTAATGGAGATTTTGAACACAAAAACGCGTTTCATTTCTTAGGCTTCATTGTGAATTTTTTGTGAAGTTTTTGTGAAGTTTTCTAACTTTTCGAGTAATTACTAAGTATGGATATCATCATGAATCTCACCTTCAAACAAACATGAATCTCGGCAATTGATTGGTGAGCCTCGACATCGGTGTTTTTGAAGTTTTTTCCTGATCGTTCCATTATCCCCATTTTGTGATGGCATAAACACCCACACGCCTTTCTAATCGATAACGTTTAAAAAAAACAGTCAATGAAAAAAAACCACTGAGAGCCGCGCAGAGAGAATCGAATGAAGTGAATTAGTTGAAAATAAGTTGTTCGATGTTTCCATTCAACCTTGCCATTTACTCTTTTGGTATTGCATGCTAGGAAAGTTTCCCAATAGTCTAATCAACAAGTTCAAAAGCATGAAATATAGAGATGAAGGTCCTAAAAATATGAGCGATTGCTCATTTGATTCAGAATCACCTCTAGAAAAATGTTTTTGAATTATTTTGATGTAGGTAAAAATTGCAATTGTTATTAATAGAATAAGATTTAAAAAAATGGTGTTTCGTTTTTCGTTAATAATTTTGAAAAAAACACGTTAAAGAGAAGCAAATTTCCGATAAAAAAGTCCCGACTCCGGAAACTCTATCTCCATTATTTATAATTTTAATTTGAAGTTGAAAATAGGGTTCTGCGCGGCTGTTACGGCATGCGCGCGCTACCGCTAAAGAGAGTTTATCAAAAGGAATAATTTTTTTATAATACAAAATGTCATTTTGGGAATTTGAAATATCTAGTATCTTCTTAACACTTGAAAAGTTATTCAATTGTTAACTAACAAATATTTTCTCAATCTCCGTTGGCATAAATAATGGGATAAAAGGTATAAATAATTGGCCTATAAATTTCAAACTCCGTGGAGTTGATAACAATTTTTTACCTGCACCAAAATTCTTCAAAAACATTTTTCTAGAGGTGATTTTAAATCGAATGAGCTATCGCTCATATTTTCAGGACCTTTATCTCTATTTTTCATGTTTTTGAACATAATGATTAGACTATGAGTGGTTAAATACCGCGCTCGCTCTGCCCTATATCTCAAAAATGGTTCACGGTCTAGAACATGTTTGAGCAAAAGCTGTAGAAAATTTGATTATCTACAATGATCAATACAAAATATATGAATGAAACGCAATAGCAAACCACAATAAAACTCATAGCAAACGAGTATTACCTTTTTCTGATTATAATATTTATGGTGATCGATATTCGACGCTAAGAGAGAATTTCAAAAAAAGGTAACAAGTTGCTAACGGCAGTCAATATTATTGGGAGAGCAGTGGTCGTGTTTTTTTATGGATGGGGTACCACTTGAGTTTGATTGTACTAAAATCAAGAAATAAAAATATGCCGTAGTCAGAAATTTATTTATTGTTGCAGACTAAGATCTCAAAAATATGATAGCTATAAGATGATGGTAAACGACCAGATGGTGTTTCTCTCATACCATGAAATCACGGTAAATCTGTGGTATGGGGCTTCACTTGCATTGACATGTTCCATCTGTTCCATCCAGTAGCGGTTGTAACTTTTGGTGTTTATGGCCCGGAGTCTCTGTTATTCGTTCATGAACTCGGAAGGAGAATAGGCCAAGCAGTGAAAGATCACCCTTCCACTTCTTCTTTGATAGAAATAATTAGTATTACTATTCAACGTGGTAAAGCTGCTTCGGTCCATGGAACTATTTCTCCGTCACATAATTTTGATGGGATCATGCATTGCCCTCATTTCAGCATGGAACTAAAATATATTCGAGACAACCGGAGATAGGTGTATATTCATCAGTCTTTTATCAAGGTTAATTCGGGAGTAAATGATCCGCCTTCTTATGTATGTATAATACATGACCATGTATATGGTCAAATTTCAAGTGAATGATTTTTCTTTTATTCTTTTGCAACAAACATAATTTTCAAACTCAGTTGAGTATACTGTATAACGGATTGTTACGTGATGAACAGAAGGATTGAAGGCGCCGTGTATTTGCTGTGCTGGTTCTGCTTATATGAAGGACGTTATAGCAAAGAGAGGTCGTACGAAGATGTTAATCTTAGGCACCCATAATACAAATTAGATGTCTTTCGGATATATTTGAATATCCAGCGTGGTGCTAGCCGATAAGTCAGTTGTTTTCCGGTATGCATTTGCCAGGATCTATTGGGTAGATAGCTGAGAAGGACGAATACTTCAAGATTTCATTTCGAAATATTTATTTTCTTATACGTATATACCTCTCCTGGATGCACTCTGCAGACAGCATGTTATAAGCTGGGAAAATATTTGTTTTCCGGCAGGCATTTACCAGAACGTACTGTGTACATAGTTAGAAGGGCTGGATATTTCGAAATTCCATTTGAAATATTTATTTTCCCATACTGAGAGTTCAGATCATCTGGTCATTGAGGAACGTGACTGTTTCGAAGATCCATTAGAAATATTAATTTTTTCAGCACATGTGTATCTCTCTTCGACGGTTGACATCATCCTTATTTGTTTTTAATTGATCTTTTTCGCAAACTACAAAGCTACCGCACTGCACTGCTCCAAATAACCATAAGAATAAACTATTATATTCATAAAAGGTGGAATTTAAATCCAACTTGATTAATATATCGTACTGTTATTACCTTCTAAGAGGAATCTTCTCTAACATCGGTTGAGCCACTTTCGGATCAGACCATCCCAATTTTCCCATTTCGGTCATGATGACTGTTGGGTTGACGGCATTCACTCGAATATTTTTTGGTCCGTATTCCAAAGCCGTTGCTCGCGTGAAAGAATCTACTGCTCCTTTGCTCGCACAGTAAACGGTATGATTCAGAAGTCCTGCTATTGAAGCTTGAGAAGACACGTTTACAATTGCTCCAGGTGCGTTTCGTTCAAGAAGATTTTGAACAACCAACTCTGTGATGTGTATGAGTGCTTTGATGTTGACTCCGAAAACGCTAGAATTTAGATATTCTGTGAAATACATTATTATTGTGGATAAGTCAATGTTTCATGTTTTCTGGGTTCGTAACCTCCCACAATCTGAAAAATTTGTGAATAAAGATCAAGTATAGGATAAATAACTAACGTCTAGTTTCTACTAAGTTTATTAATTGTTACGAGAAGTTTCGAATTGTTAGACCATTCTCAATCAACTTGAGAATTCTCAAGTAACTTGAAAATGTTGAACAATTGATAAATTCAGTAGAAGTTATTTTTTATCTTATATTCAATAGGATTTTCTACAAAATAAATAGTTCATCAATTGAAAAAGCAATATAGATCCACAGAAAGGCAGCTCTCAAGTGAAATGAAGATTGTGGAAGATTAGAAACCCAAAAAGCATCAAAGAGCTAGAACTCAGATTCATTAAGATTTGTGTGCAATTATATGATACAATATATCAATTCTCAATCGAGGAAAATACAACACAACTATATTGTGACAAAAGACACGTGAAAATAAAAATAATCAATTAAACTGAATATAACAAGTGTACAATGTACAAAATGTTGACAAATAATAACATGCTAATATTTTAAAAAACATATTGAAGAGTGAGTTGGTGAGAAAAAAAGATATGATTTTTACCAAACTCAATTCGAATAAAGAAGGGAAATCTGTTAAAAATAAAAAGGTTCTCCACAAAATGATTTGGTCTTTATGACTCATTCAGATATATTTTTGTGAATGAATATTTATGTTTTATCGTGAACATTCGGAGGATTCAATTGACAATATAAAAACTATAGATAATAATTTAACTGACTAATTTCTTCTTCAATTTTCATGTTGAATCCATCATGTGTTTCAAGAATGATAATTTTATGAAAGTATTCTGTGTTGTTCGAAGCTAGCCCAGGACACTAGTCCTATTGATCTATTGAAATGTTGATATGATATTCCAATATAGATTCAGCTAGAGAATTGAAAAATTGTAATTTTTCCATGACGAATATTGCGAAGCACCTCTAGTCTATATACCAAGTTGAAAATGGTGGAAAATAGGGATAATGGTCGGAAAAATATATGCGATGGCTCATTCGATCAGGAATGATCTCCAGAAAAATATGCTTCAACAGGTTTCAGGCACATAATAAATTGCGAATGATATAAATAAATTGAGACATGAAAAAGGTATTCAGAATTATAAAATATCAAAGTGAATTATTGAAAAAGCTAGGTAATTATCAATTTACAATACTTTACTTGAATTTCGTCTTCATTGAATACAAAAAAAAGTGTTCAAATACTTTTCTAAAAAATGGTTCGCTTTGTGCAGCTTCATTATCGGTGTACCTAATAAGATCATGTTTTAAAATTTTAAATTTTTTTATCATAATTTTTTTACATTAACAAAATATTAATAATTGACGTAATGTTAATTTTTCCTTCATTTATCATCACATCAGCGCCATTCGTTATTAAATTGTTCATGAATTGTTTATAAACAAACATACTACGTGAGTATCTTGATTTCTTTCAATTATGATGTTGGCTTCAGAATATGTTTTAAAAATAAAAATTGAAATCATAGAAGATTTTTTAATCAATAATTGTATTGCTTATCAACAAACAAATTCACATCCGCGATATATTTCAAAACAATGAATTATTTGGAAAAAAAATTGTTTTTGATTTTTTATTGTACCTCTAAAAATCATGTATATGAACCAGTCGATTTATTAATTAAAAGATTATTATAACTTTGGAAATATTGTTTGAAACTTTTGCAATTTTCCATGTCCTGAAAACCGGTTTTGACACATTTCTCTAGATGTCATTCCCGGTCGAATAAGACATCGAACGTTATTTGTTGACCAAAATATAAGAACTCATTAACCTTTGTGTCAAAATTCAGCTTCTGAGAGTTGCCATTTGTAGTGAAGTTTCAACTGTTTGAAAGCAATAGTGCAGTTTCTTTCAGTAACCAGCTATCACTCCTCTCCAGTTAACCCCTACCAGTTAACCTATTTCAAACCCATTCAAAAATATCATAATTTTGAAATTATTCAATTTTATGCTAGTTCAAGAGAGATCTGAGATCATTAGAAAGGGGTGTTATTGCACAACAGTTATTATTTATTTAGGAGGTCAAACCATAAATGTCTACTTTATCATAATTTGTGATTATTGGCATCATTTCTCTTGTAGAGTGGAGGTGATACGACATCTGCATTTTTCAGGAGTAAAACAACAGTTTTCGAAATGTTTGAAAAACAGTTCAAGTTTTCAGAAAAAAAAATTAATTCCTCTCCATAAGAAATTATCCTCTCTATGTATGGAGTTTTTAAAAGAACTACGTGCTTAGATGAGTTTTGTTTCGTTAAAAATATTCTAAAGGAAAAACAAGTGCAAACAGCTTGTAACTTAAGATTAGCAATAGGTAATTATCTGCTTTACAATTTTTGTCTGAACTAATTTTACAATAAAACTGGCCGTTTTGCTGAAAATCACGAAAAACCTGTTTTTGTAACCTTTGACTTCTAGTTCATTTTTTGCCAGGTATTGGATTGATTAGGATTCTTTGAATTTCATTTATGATAGTGTTTTGAATAATCCTACTGTTTTTGAGTTGAGTGCAAATTTTTGTAGCTTCACTCCTAAATTTTGGCCTAATTTGACCAGAAAATGATGGTTATTGATGATTTATCATGCGAATGAAGTGATTCAACTTAAAAATTCATCATTTGTGATAAAATAAAATTAAAATTTTTTCTAATCAGGCTGATTCTTTCTTTATTTTACTCATTAGGCTGATTATTTCTTTACTTTACTTTACTTCAGACTGCGTGTACAATAGAGCTAGAGATTCTCCAATATCAACCTAATTCAGCCGAATCAAAAATACTCCATAGCCAGTCGGTGATGCACGTTTGAAGTTTACTACATGATAATGTAAAACTGAATCAGTGATTTAAGAAAACACAATGTAGAGCTGGTGGATCCAATTGAAAAGTCATTTTTATAAATATTTGAATGAAAAGTAAATTGATCATTAAACAATATTTATCCTTTCTCTGACATATCCTTTCTAGGATAAATTTTCCTTGCAGAATTTCATAAAAAAAAACAGAAGGAAGATCTCTTCATATATAATACACGAATACTTATATCTGCTTGGAACAATACTGTTTATTGTTACCGGAATGAGATATATTTTTGAAGGTTTTCTGCCATAGAACGTTCATTTATTTAAATGAGCAACGTGTAGTTGATCTTTTTGTGAATTTTCAATTCAATTTTGTTACGAACTTCACTTAACCTCGAATCCACAATCTATCATGGATATCTTCAATGCACTTTGTAAAAACATAACGTTTCTAGGATTTCTTCTCGAACATTCCAAATTGTGGATAGTTCTGATTTTTTCTGAGTGTTCTCAAATATGGAGAGAAAACTTGAGCCACAATAAGAACATATAAAATTAAACCAAGGCCCACACAGCATTGCTGCTGTATCCAGTACCAGTTCTTCGTATTTCAAAAGTATTCAAAAATTAGTGCCAAGAACTTGAGTGCATAGTGCAGAATTCCTTCATTTTGACAAATATTCATAACGGAATATTCAAGGGTAATTGTTATTCAAAACTGATATTCCACGAGTTTTAGTATATACTAGTTGATGAAAAATGAAAATAAGGATATTGTTCCAGGAGCAGAGTGGCAAAAATTCAATAAGGAATAATGACATGGAGAATTGATAAATGTGTAAGCGTTTATTTCCGCGCAACTTCCGATGTATAACATTATAACATACTCACCTATCTATATCCTTCTCCTCTATATCCATCATTGATTTAAGCCACCCCATCCCTGCGTTGTTGACCAACAAATCGATGGGGCCAATGTTTTTTAAAATATGTTCTGTTTGGTTCCAGTCCGTTATATCCAATTCTAATGTTTCAATCTTGCAATCTTCGGCTTTCAAAGAGGCTAAAATGAAAAAAATACATTCAATTCACCAAAAGATTAACAAGGTGATGAAAATATCAAGGGGAATTTTTTGGGAAATAAACTTTTTGGCATTATTTTTCTTCATTGTTGAACAATTATATGGGAAACTTTCCACTTTCAATTCATCGAATATAACGTCAGCAATACTCAATCTCTGAAATGTTGGAAAAATTTCCATATTTTCTTGTATAACAAATATGATTCTGAAGCGTATACATGAAAAACTAGTCCAAACATTTTTTAAATTTATTGAAGAATAATAATAGTATCCAATATATTGTTTTGCTGACAATACAATACAATACAATACATAACTTTATTTTTCCTGAGACTTTTTTACAATCAAGGAAATCGTCACATACACAGTAAATATTGGAGTTGAAAAATATCAAGTGATAAAATATGGAACACATAAAAAAATTAAATCAATAGTAGATGTAGGAGATAATTATATAAAACAAATTAAAAAACATAGTATAAACAGTGAAATAGTTAACAAGCAAACAATCGTGATGTCAAGCAGCCAGATCAGTTTGAAAGTATTCATCAAGACATAACATGAGGTCCGTTTGATACAGATGTTAATTTGTGTAAAGGAACTATCAGATTATAATTTTGCCTGAGAGTATAACCAGCAGCTATGCGGATAGTATCCTTTTGCAGAAACTCATGGTAATGATTCTTAATGTAAGTGACACAATTTAAAATAAACATGAATATCACAGTTAAAATTTGTAACACAGTAAATAACTGCTTACAAGAATCACTATATTTTTTAAAACACATGGTTCTTAGTATCTTTTTTTGAGTAATCAACAGATCTAAGCAATAATTTAGACTTGGTGCATAGACATAGAAGTAGCTTAATAAAATATTTATGGGGAAAGAATTTCTGAGATTCCAAATAACGAAACAATGCTTGGATAATTTTATAGAAATAGAGTCAGTATGATCATTCCAGGATAATTGGGAGTCAATGTTCAACCCTAAGAACTTGACTGATTTTTTCTGCACAATAGATTTAGTATTAGCTCTAACCAACATACTGCAGTCCATTTCTGTAAGCGAGAAAACAATGGTATTCGATTTATTGCTATTTAGTACGAGGCCGTTTCTGGCGCAGTAATTGAGCATATTAGCAACTGCAGTATCAGCCTGGTCAGATAACCTTTCACAAGAAGAAGAACTCAATAAGAAGGAAATATCATCAGTAAACTATACAGTACAATGTTGTTGAATAATATTAGAAATGTCGTTGACGAATAAGAGAAAGAGAGTAGGACCCAGGACACTACCATGGGGAACACCTGTTAATATGTTAAGTACGATTTTCAGAATGATATATTCCAGATTTGAGCCTAACATTAACAGATTGTGATCTGTCAGTCAGAAAAGTCTTAATCCATTTTAGACTTTGGCCGCGAATTCCAGTTTCATAAAGTTTATCGAGAAGAAGTTGATGCTTGATGATATCAAATGCATGTGACAAATCAAATAGAATACTGATCGATTTTTCGCCATTTTCAAATTTGGATGAAACATGATTGACCAGAGAAAGAGTAGCATCTTGGGTGGATAAACCAGATTGGAATCCATATTGGCTCTTTGCGAGTAAGTAATACTTTTTACAGAAGGATACAAGTCTGTTGAGATAGGATTTCTCGAAAATTTTAAAAAATGAAGACAGCAATGCAATACCTCTGTGGTTGGAGATTAAGTGCTTATCATTTTTCTTTTGAACAGAAACTACAATAGCATGTTTAAGACACGAGGGAAATGAACCCTCAAGGAAAGAGAGATTGAGTAGGTATGTAAGTGGTTCAATGATTAGTTCAGCAACATTCAACAATACCTGGTAATTCATCAATGCCACTAGAGTTCTTAGACGATATGGACTTGATGATGTCAAGAAGTTCAGTTTCGTCTAAAGGATGAAGAAAAAACGAGTTTGTTTTTATATCGTGATGATGTTCACCAGCACACGACAGCACACTTATCTTATCATAACATTTGGATTCCAGGACATTGGCCGAGGAAACATATCTTCACCGTCAGCAGGAGGTTGAATATCTTTATGAGGATCTAGAAGTAATTTCGAATTGGGGTGAAAGTAACCAGGTTCAATTCAATGCCACAAAAACTCATCCATCGGTTTTCTCCAAGAAGATAAATGTCTCCGAACCGAATATAATAATTTCAGGTCAGACAATTCTGCTTTCTGCTTCGATCAATTTGTTGGGAGTTAAAATGTACCCCAATATGTCATGCCATTGGAATTGCAAAGGCTATTTCAATAAAGCCTGAAACAGTGTTCCGAACCAGAAAACTGTACACACCTCAACAACTTTTAATGCTTTAAAAGCTCAGATCAGACCTTCTTTGGAGTATTGTTCCCATGTATGAAGCTTCGCTCCAATCATACCCTGAAGCTCGTGTAGGTGTTGGGAAAAAAACTCCAGTAATATTCATTACTACATCAAAGATTCCAAACAGTGCATCACAAACCATTTCAGTAGATTTTTGAATTTACTTTTTTGATTGCAAGAATGACTGATTGAAAATTTCAGTGGTTCATGTCATAATAACTTTTCAGAGTGAACTTTTTAATTTATATCTCACAACACTTCAGCAGATTCTTTAGGTTAATTCGTTTTTCAGATCAGAAAAACAGAAAAAACAATGACCTTCAGCAAAAAATTTCTTTTGAAGAATAATCGAGTAGAAAAATTCGTTTCAGAATGCAAGTTTGTACGAAACATTATGTATTATTACGAATCTAGTCAATTCAAGTGAAACGCAATAAACTCACCTAATAATTCTCCATTTCTCCCAACTCCAACAACTTTAGCACCACATTTCGAGAGTTGAAGAGCTATATCTCTGCCGATACCTAAAGAAAATGGAGTCAGAAAAATCATTAAGAATAATATGTTCATTTACCTTTAGTGACACCTGTCACCAATGCCCGCTTTCCAATGAAATTGATTTCCATTCTTAATACACCACAACCACAACAATAATGAATAATTATGACAAAATGTTATTCATTTGCACGATATCAGTTTGACCTATCTAGTCAAATTTCATTAACATTTATGTTATCTTAGGTCATTCGAAATAATAGTCCAGGAATATTATTCAAATCCAACATGTTTAGAAACTACTTATCGTAGGGTGTCCGAAACTACAGATATTCCAAGGAGAGAGGTCATTTATCATAAATATTTCGTTTCCTTTGGATGTTATGCTATTTGTATTTTTCATAAATATTGTAAAGGATCGAATTCTCTACAACTTTCGTTAAAAAAAATTATATTGAACAATTAGAAGGAGAAATTTGTTCGGCTCGATCATTATTTGAGAATGGAGTGCGACCCTTGTTGGCAGTCTATAACGCTCCAAAATCTGAGGAATGCATCGATCGTCTTCGCTATCCACAGTTCATCAATTCAACTAAACTGAATAATCCTATGAAGTTATCAAATCTTTCACCAACGAGTGCAACAGCTCACCAACATTTCAACCGTGTAAGTTCAGACTTGGTTTGGGCATGATTTAGAACCTCAGAATTGGGATTGGATAATGCATGATTAGTTCCTGGAAACTGTTATGACAATTAATCCACCAGCTCCGGAAAAATTGCTCAACACAATATTCTGCAACTGCATAAATGGTTGTGGATGCAGGAAAGCAGAGTTGCGGCCAGTGTAATGGGCAAACTCGTCTTAATGCTTCACCTTAGAGTAATATCATTGAAGACTATAATTTTGACCCCAAAATCTTGGAAGAACTGAAGACAAATGTCGAGGAAAACGAGAACACAGAGGAATTCGAAATTTTACAGCTACTGAAAGACGATGATGAAGAAGAAAAAAATTGAAATTAGAACTTGTAGTTCTAATATTCAATTTTTCAAATTTCAACGTTCATAAATGTATGAAATGGTATTTTTCGGAATTAGTATGAATAATACTAGAATTGAAACATAATTTCCCTCAATAACTTCATAATTACACGAGATTTTGAAAAAAATACTAATTNCTATCCCCTCCCCCCTCCCACCGCTTCATTGGTTTTTAGCGGGAGCTGACCGTTGGGCGGAAGTTGGTTATGTAGCTTGGCTAAATGCGTTGTTGGACAACATATATGCGGCTTCTTTGAATTTTCTTCTGAACCAGTGTTCCTCCTTGTTTATTATTTCAGCTTGAGCTCACTTGATGTTATGTTGATGAGTCCAAACATGCTCTGCTATTCCGGATTTGCTGGTATCTCCTCGCTGTGTGTGTTTTTTGTGCACGGCAATGCGAACTTTCAATAGCCTCTTAGTTTAACCGATATATGATTTTTCGCACTCACAAGGTATCCGGTAAATACAATTTTTGGAATCGCAGTCCGCGTTTGGTGGCCTGGTTTTCGTGACAGTGGAAGTCCGAACTGATGAAAACCGAGTGGATTATTGGTCATTATGGAAAATTAATTCCTCCAATAATACTTCGTTTTTCTTCAGACTACACCAACTATGCAATGAAATACAGAATTATCAAAAAAATTAAATAGCTCATGTTTACTATATTATTATTTTATGATTTCCACAAACAAATGATACATTTCATGACAAATGTTTTGGATGGCTGATTAAGTCAAATTTTCACGTTACACGAGATATTTGCAATCAGTGTGCAAGTTTTAGAATGCCAAAATGAAGGTTTATACAAGTTTCTCATTCTCTCATTCCGATGTGGAACCCCTAATATTCCTGGTGTATCGGTGCTCTTTCATTCACAGTTCAAAAACTGGTGATTTAACAAAATTGTATACATATTTTCCCAATTTCAGTTTGAGAGTTTATACAATGTTATAATTGTTAATTAAAAAACGATTCCAGAAACTCTAGAGTCCACAATTTGGGCTTTCATATAAATAAATTATTTCGAGCAGTTTTATATACACTGCTATGTAATTTCGAGTGTTCACACGGGGATCTCGTAGTCGGTAAAAAAGAATAGTACTATTGTGACAAAGTGTGCTATTTTCCTATAATCCTAAGAGGTTCCGTAGTTTCATGAACATCAAAACAATCATCAATGTTTTTATTACGGCCCTGATAATTGTTCGAATGGAAGCAATACTTACTCCCTTCATGTACCACAGCTGATTTTCTTACAACCCGCAGAAGTTGAATGCCGTTCAAAAAAATCACCAAAATAAAAAACAGCAGCGAAAACAAGAACTTGTCGAAATTTTATTATCAGTTTCTGGAAAATACTTCTTTTGGAAATTTCATATCTGTTTGAACAAGAGAAGATGAATTCACTTACATTTTGAGGTCAGTAACAATTCATTTCTCTCAAATAATAACCCGTATTTTTTATTTCTTATTGACTTTTGATGAAACACCGCGGGAACCGAAATTAGGGTTGCACAAAAAAGTTTTTCTTGATCTTCTTTAAGTTGTACGACATGCTACAAAAGTACAGGACCGTATTGTAAATTTCAAAGTTGATGGTGGCTCAAGTCGGACGAATTTCTATATAGTATAAAAGTGCTAGAACAGTATTTAATTGTAATAGTAAAGTTGCTATGTCGAAGTGTAAACAGATTTCCAATATTATTTAATTGAAAAATGTACAGCAAAACTTTGAGTTCAGAAATGTTCGGTTTTCCCTTCATATTTTTGGAACCAAAATAGTCTATTATTTTTTATATCATCCAACAATTACCAAAAAAATTCAACTTTGCCATTTCAACATGCTCTCTATTTCTCACCTTTCACGAGATCTCCATTAATTTGAATAACCCCGTATAACAGGTACTTTACTTGCAGTTCAAAAAGTAACTCTCGATATCTCAAATTCTTTCTGGAGGATATTCGTCTGAAAAGAGAAGTTGGAAACAGCACACGAATATCGTCTTACTTGAATGGTCGAGGACTTCATCAGTTTTACAAGCTTTCCTCAGCCTGAGGCTGGGAAATAAATAGTTCCAATACATTTTGCACCTCATTTACGACAACTGATTCAATATCTGCGAAGCATAAACCATATTTTGAATATCTGAATAAACCAATTAGGAAATATGTTTTTTAATCGTTCATAACGATTTTGTTTTAACAAATTGTTGAGTTCGAATTGATATGAAAAAAGAGAAAGAATGGCTTGAAAATATATAGGTAATGAATGGTAACTAATTTTCATAATAATGATAATAATAATGAGCATTTACCCGAGCAACTGGTGCAAAACCGGACCGGCAGACCAGGTGCACCCGGGAAGGAGAACACTATTCTCGCTCCGGTGCCGGCCGTGAGTCCACTGGGCTAACCACCTGCTGGACCCAACACTTGGTTCTCAGCAATTGAGGAATTGACCTTCACAATCGACCCGCTCGGAGGGGTCAGAGGCAAGATGGTGGCGCCTATAACGATGATTTGCCTACCGATGACAACCCTGGCAATGACAACGGACGTTTTGAGTGGACGCATGAACTGAGAGATAGCCTTATGCGTTGCTACGAGAGTAGTGAGTCAGCACGAAGAGGGTACATGGCGAGATTGTGGTGTGAAACACATACGGAGCATGCCGCCTTTTCCGTATCCTATCTTCGGCGGCAGGGCTATATAGCTCCTCCCCAGCCTGCTAACGAAGTGGTAGAAGTGACATTTCTACCACCCGTTGGCACGTCTGGAGAGGAGACTCGCATCATGCCACCAATGGAGTCAATCAGAACACGCAGGGCGCTCCACAGAATTAGGCCCCTGAAGCCACAAGAACTGGCTTGTTCGGATGCGGAGGTTCATAGTGTTCTAACAGAAGAGGCTGACATCTGGCAAATCAACACCATTCGTATTCAACACACTTCAAGTCAAGGCGTGCTGCTGACCACCAAATAGAACTGCCTTGATAGGATTCGAATGCTAGTGGCTGCTAAGAAGTCATTAGTGAGGCGAGCGAGAAGTATCGCGGAAAATCTTAGTTTCCGCGATAAATCTTCTCGCTTATTCCAAAAGCCTCCACGTGTTGTGGATAATCCGCTTACCGATGATCAGGTGAAATCCTTCTGGAAGGATATCTATGAACACCCACAGCCACTCAACTCAGACACTCCAGCCCTAGCGCAGCTCGAAGCTTTCAACAGAGAGCTTCGACAGCCTGAGCTCAATGAACTGCGCAACCCGATAACCCCGGATGACGTTCGAAGAGCCATTGTGGATTCCAAGAACTTTGCAGACCGTTCTCATCCCTAAAATCGAAGATTTGTCGATTTCCAAGAATTATAGACCGATAACGTGCTTGAATTCGTGTTATAAGTTGTTAACAAGCATCTTATACGTACGAATACTCACCGCAGTTGACCAAGTGTTCGAACAGATATATGAGCAGAGAGGGTCGAAGAGAGGGGTCGCTGGATGTATAGAGAACCTGCTCATCGATAGATGTGTAATGCATAACTCGAACGTAACCTCTCCTGGTCTGGATCGATTACCGTAAGACATTTGATACAATTTCGCATCAGCTGGTCTTGGATTTGCTCAGATGCCTTGCGGTACCCGACAAAATAGTGAGATGCATTGGACAACTGATACTATTTTGGCGAACTCGCTTCACCATAACATCTGGACAAGCAAGAGTCCAAACAGGGTGAATTTCAGGGTGATTCCCTCAGTCCCCTTCTCTTCTGCATTTCACTATTGCCATTATCCGTTGCGCTCAGAAATACTCGAGGGTATAACTGTGGCACCCCCGGAAACCGGAGGCACAAGGTCACCCATTTGTTTTATATGGATTATCTTAAACTTTATGCCTCTGGAGAGAAGGATCCCCATCAGTCCATGGAAGAGTACACGCATGCTATCGGTGTGAAATTCAGGATGCAATGGTCCATCTCAAAAGATGGAAGCATCCTACACCATCTGGATGCCAGAGAGACGTATACTTACCTCGGGGTGGAACAACGCCACTCACAAGAGGTAACAGCAGTGAAAAACTCTCTCCTCGGCAAGTATCAGCACAAAATTCGACAGATCTGGTCATTGGAACTTCGACAGATCTGGT